TGTCAATTTGAAAACGACGTGAAAACGTTTATGTGTAAAATCACTATATAACTGACTTTGTTACTACATGTACATGTATCATTATTTATATTGCTTTTAAATATTAATGTGAGCAATAAATCAATAACAGCTAGACGAGACACCCATTAAATTGAACTATGCAGAGTTTACTTCTTGGCATCGTGCGATTCTCTCCAACTTAAATATTGTCTTATTTAGTGCCGCTTCATTCTTTTAAGAAAATTATTCTTTGAGGGATTTCAAGAGTTCACCGACGAGTAATTGGGTTAATTTGTTTTTATTTTTAACAATAATCATTCGTGGGTACCCTCCCCTCCCTAAAGCATTGTTATATCCAGGTTAGACGTTGAGTACATAATATTTGTTGTAATGGATGGGACGTGGTCCAAATCATCCGTATCTATGGATTGTAATGCGATCGGATGTTCATCTTCGTGATGGTATATGTCCCCAAAGGATTATCTCTCTCCCCTCAGTCGAACTCGATTACCATATGCAAGTGTGTGCGTGTTGGAAGGGATGTGTGGTGGCCGGAAGATTAACATGAGGAATGGCCGTCGTCGACCAAACGGGATTCGACGCGCTTGATTATAAATCGTTTTATCAAACAAATCATTGCGGTAGAAAGGCTGTCATAAGAACGTCATCAGAGGAAGATGAAATGAAGTGCCCATATGGTCCTCTCTCTAGATCGTCGTTAGAGTTTAAAGACGACATGATGAAGTGTGCCATCCAGTGATAAATATTTGCTCTCCATTAAATCATTTTTATTTGTCTGCCTACTATTTAGGAGAACATAATGAGACGTTCATAAGCCACCTCGAGTTCCAATGGAATGTTAGTTATTATTGTTGCCTCATAAGTATTATTTAACCATTAACTAGTTACGTGACTTACGTCAGTAAAGGTGGAGCGTCGATGTAGAATAAAATTAGTCCATTTGAAGTAGTAGCTGGAATTAAAATCAAATATTTCATTCCAAGTTCAGCCGAGGTGAAGCAGGAAAAATACGGAATGTACTTTTAAGTTTGAGGTAAAGAATATCAAAGTTAAGTTGTGGTTTGAGCTCCTCCTTATCACCATATATGAAAAGCTTTCTATCGTCGGTTACCATACAATATCTCAAAAACCATACATGCAGAGGGACCCCTGTCAGGTAGCCTCCGTCGAATTCTGTCCATATTAAAAGACTTAACTTTTTTTTTTATTTGATTTTATTTCTGCATTTTTCCAATTGATAAAATAACAAAATAACTAAGAACATATAAACGTAAGGTATAATACAAAATATACATAATTATAATGATAACTTCATGTCAATTTTTTTTTTTTTTTTTTTTTTTACATATTATGTACAATATCGAAACTTAACATATTATTATGAATTTAAAGTATTATCCAAACTATCAGTTGAAAAAAGTGCAAGAGACCGCAATCATAAGCGAAGCTTGACTAGGATGGCGGCCTCAAAAAGAAAAAAAAACGTTCTTTGTGTATGAGTTCCATTCCAGATGTCCCCATTTCATCATTAACACAGGCAATGTGTCCCCATTTAGAATGTGGTTCATTGCTCTATTAGACTTGATTACTATTGTGTCTCCTAAATTTGGCTATTCATTTCATATGTTATTTTTGATTAAAGGAAGTGAGAGATTTGTGATGAAATAATTTAAAATAAAAGGAGACGATTCACGACGCGTCACCTTGTTTTAGACTGCAGCCCCTCCCATTCCTATTCGCAACCTTCATGCATACGACACCACGTCCCACTAACAAAACACAGGTGTGCAAATTTGGCGGCTTCTTCCGCGCGTGCGTGCGTACAGGGACGTGGGAACGTGCGCAAGTGGCCCCTTTTACTATCACTCAGCAAAGGTTTGCATAGTGTAGAATTATGATTGTGGGTAATTGGGTTATTGGTACTCTGCACAATTGCACACTGTGTTGGTTGGATCAGACGACCTGACTGTATAAAGAGAGTTGGCTTGTATTCCCGAGCCCCGGGACACGTTGTTACACTCGATGCATTAAATAACCTGTTACAAGTTGCCTCTCCAACATCAAGGCGATGTGAAAACTAAAAGAAGAAAGAGCTAAGGAGTTCAAACGGCCCATAACGGCTCCAAGACAAACAAATTAGGATGGTACATCAGGAGATCCTAAGTGAAGGTTATCGGTTGAGGAAGACTGAAATTGAAATGATGATGTTTACACGTCTCGAATAGTTATCTAAATACATTTTTTAATTCGTATAACAGTTCCAATGCTAATTCAGCGAGAAAGCACTTTGGAAGAAAGAAAGTCTTGTCTTCACATAATAAATGGAGCATAACTTTTACACATTTTTAATCAAAAATTACCAATCGCATCACCGTAACACTTGTTTGAATAAGGTCCAAAATAAACTTTTGTTGATTGTTTCTGTCATTTTATTTTGTTTAGAGCAAAATACTAAAAATCTTTCTTTTTTTTTCTTCCAGTTTCCTCCTAACGGAATTTGAGGTGAAATAATTTCGATCCGTGATCACTGTATATAAAACATCAATGTCTTCCTCTTTCTTTTTAACGGTTACCAAATTTGTACAAAAGGGGTTTCATTTCAAAGGCCTTTGAAAGACGTCTGTATTCAGAGAATGTTCAGGATCAACTTTATTTTCTTCACTTTTGTGACGCTTTTGTCATTACTGAAGATTTGTTCGAAGCCCTGTTACAATCATTTGCAGAAATAATAGTAATCAAATTTCGTTTTAGAATAGGTGTTTAAAGAGCAAGTAGGGTTAAAACAACCGTGTCTTTTTAATGAGTAATTTCACTTATGCCTTTATGACAAATTCTCGTTATATTCCGCAAAGATTGTTGGAGCAAAAGGTAATCCGTATCCCAACCACTGAGATACGAGAACTTGTATTACGTTGGGGTTTTTTATAGGAAGAAGATGCGTAGTAATATCTTTTTGAATTTGGAATGTGGAAGCGAATCCGGTTAAAATAAACATTGTGTGTGAACAAACAGTGGATATTTTTGGAACACTTTGAGGGTGTTGAGAGATCACGTGAACAAATTTACACAATTTAAAAAACTTAATGTCACACTGTGGTCATGAAGAGAATCACGTAATATGCGCACAACATAATTACCACATGACGATACGTTTGTCTAACATGATATGACATAGTGTGGTCACATATAAAACCACACAGTTTGCGTACCGTAGTGTTACCTGTAAGTGGAACTGGGAACATCTAAATAATGTTGACATAGTGATGATCATGGAAAGAACACCCATAGAAAACACAGAGAAAACCATGAAGGATAGCCTACACACCTCGGTGCGGCCAAAATAGATTTGAAACTTACATTCTATGTGACTTATTGTAGTCACATAAAAAATGCTCTATAAGTTTAAAAAAAAATTGATTTGGGAAAACTGTCAGAGCGATGATTGCATGAAATGTTGGTATTCAAACTCTGTTCATACTTCGTGTCAAGCTTGGGCTGCAGACTAAACCACAGTGTGTATGCATCACAGTGAGAACATAACTTGAATTTAGAACACTTTCATAGTGGTGACCGTTTAAAAAACACTGTGTTAAAACTGTGTTCAGACTGCGTGTCACACTGGGGCTGCAGACTGAACCACAGTGTGTATGCATCACAGTGAGAACATAACTTTAATTTAGAACACCGTCATATCACTGTGGTGACACTGTAAAAACACTGTATTAAAACTGTGTTCAGACTGCGTGCCACACTGGGGCTGCAGAAAACACCACTGTGTTTGCAATGTGATCATACCAGGATCATACAATGCCCTCGGAACAGTTTAGAAATCATAGTGGTGACTGAGTCATTGGAAATAAAGAAGAACAAACTATGTGAATAAATTTGGGAAAAAAAAGTAAAATGAAGGAGCACAAGGTGAAAAAACGCCAGCCGATCATCATTTGCTCATTTTAGAGGCACTTCTTAATCTTCATAAATCCTCTTCTATAGATATCACTTCTCACTTGAGCTGAGTTTATAGGGATTGGCGAGGATGATTGATAGTGGTGAATGTGTAAGGTATCTGCAAACATCGATTTCTAGCGAGATGGGGAAAAGGAAAATCATAATGTTTAAAGAGGGCATGATATAGAGTGTTTCCATATGAACTAGGCCTATCAGCTTAGCCCGTGTCTTTCTGCAAATCTATACAGATTGTAGCGACAGAAATCGTATAAACTATCACATATACAGAACGAATATTCGATATCTTCTGAGTGGTGATTTAGGGAGCGATTTGTGATCACCTTAATTTACTAAGATGTAACGAAAAGTTGTAAACATCAAGAATATATATTGTATAGATATGTGTCACACATACAAGTAATGCAAATGACGATGTAGTATAAAACGTCATGTGTTTTGTTTTATCACAAAAAACGTGAGTGCATGTGTCATACAGTCTTGAACTTGTGTATCACTGCTTCCCGTGAATTGCATTTTACTTCATTTCTATTAACTGATGTTGAAAAGTCCATATTCCTCTGATGTAGCTGTACTTTGAGACACCCGGTAGGGAATAGAGTCGCGTGCACGTGTTTGCTCCTGTATCTTTAGAGACATGCATACCCAGAGAAAACAAAACCCATGGACGAATCAAAGTATTAGCCTCATTTTTAGGCCTGTTATCGCCCAATCTTCTCCTGTTGATAGAGTCCGTATGATCAGGCAGTGTACGTTCTAGGGAGGTTAGCAAGATAAAATGTGTCATCAAGTAAAACGAAGTGTATAACGTGGTGACGAAAAAAGGCATATTTATATGGGGTTCGGGTTTAGTTTTCAAATATTACTAATTTTCAATTGAAAATAAAACAATTAATTGTTTTATTTTGACCAATATATTCGATGTGTGTGTATTAAAAAAGCAAATATATAAAAATTGACGTTTCGTTTATGATTTTCTGTAATAATTGATTTTGCTTTTTGTGTAATTTCAGGTGGCGAAGATGGTTCTGATCGTGGTGTTTTGTTTCTTCATCTGCTGGTTCCCGTACTTTCTGGTGAGCATGATAGCTCAGTTCACAACACTCTTACATGATAGGAACTACATCTTTTCTCTTCTCCTCATTCATCTTTTCGGCTTTGCCAACTCCTTCATGAACCCTGTAATATACGCCTTGATGAGTCAGGCTTTCCGCACCGGATTCTGGTTGATTTTGACCCTATGTTGTCCTCAGTACCGTGATCTCGTCGGACCAAGCAACCGAAGCGGTGGCGGCCGCAGTGTAACCGCTGTTTCACAAACAGAGGTAGCGACCGAGCGGCAAACTGCAAAGCGCGGTTATAACCGCTTCTTCCGACGCGAGAGCACGCAGTTCTCTGCCGTCTCTGACCACGATGAGGATCGCATAGGAATGACTAAGATTGGGAAAGTGGGAAACAGCTCCAACAACAACAATCGAAGGATGGCCAACAACCAGACGGTACAGGAAGCTGAACGGAAGCAACGGGCAGAGCGTCTGTTGCATAAGTTCTTGGATGATGAACCACCAAGAAAATTGACTGATGTTGAGACTGTCGGTAGAAACACCAATGGTGTGGGTCAATCACCAGAATCGAATGAGTGCGAGACGCCACTTATTGGAAATGATTATCAGGAAGAAAGTTGTAAGCTTAACGGCCCACATGACGTCGTGTACCGAAAGAGTGTATCAAGCCCTGTTGACGTCACTGGCAATGATCCTGGAAGTAGAATAGCCGATGGTCAAGTGGTTGGCCAAGATGGACAGGTCTGTGTAAGTACCGAGACTGATAAGAATCTTCAGGACATGGCACCGCAGGATGAGCTAATCAAGTTCAATGCGAGTATTTCAAAGTGTGCGGCATGGAAGGCGGCAAACGACGTTTCTTCACAGGATGGCGTTATTGTAATGATAAACGAAGATGTACCAGATGCTGAGCGGTCTCACAATGGTAGGGACACGGTTCCGCAGAAAGCCATTCACAACTCATCAACGCCTGGTGTGGAACAACTCATGGACTGTGAACACGGAACCGCATGGGACTTAGCCAAAGCTAGTAATGGACCTGTTCTAGACGAAGCCACTACAAAAGTGTGAATGAGACAAGATACAACCGGACACATAACTGTGAGGACAATTCGAAACAAATTTTACCATTCTTTTAACGCTCAGAGGAGATTGGAAAAAAGATAAATTAATCACAAATTATAAAACTCTTTTAAAGCACAGAGGAGAACCTTTATGCAATACCTGAATTTAGTTCCTGAAGAGACAATGATCTATACGTTCAAGGAGATGATATATTTTGACAAGGCAGACAGAAGAAAACGTCGTATTTTGTATACAAACACTGTAAATATTGTTCAAACTTATTTACTTGCAAAAAAGCAATTTGAAAAAGCTGAGTTCTGCAGCCTCAAATTCAATTTTTCAAAGATTATTTGACCTGAATAATGGTGATAATTTATTGTATTATCTTGTGGTATTGTGTCCCTGTGTGTTCCTGATGCATTTTTAGGATTACTTGCTAGTTGGTCTTTAACGGCGACATATCTGTCCAAAATATCGCTGCATTAAACATCACACCCTCAATATCACTTGATCCTATAGCACTTTTTTTAAAATAAATATCGTACAAAAATACATAATGGTGTGATGAATATTGGGGATGAGGTCTATAAAAAAAAAAAATTGATACAAGTTTTTATCTCTCCAAGATGTCGAATTTTTTCAAATTATTTGTTCTCACTGTTTAAAAAATAAAAATATTTGTAAAAAAAAAATGGCACTGAAAAAGCAAAATGGATAGAAATGAGATATTGTATGTTTTAATTGTTAGTTAATAATACTACACAATTACCTTTGAACGAATTAAACCTTTGTTCGAGTACCCGAAGCAATTTGAATGCGTTGGTTATGATTCTATGTAGTTAAAATCGTTTATGATGTACACATTAATCCTGAATGTCAACAGATTTATATGTAAAATATACCTAGTCATTTTAAATATTAGAAGGTGACTTTATCCTGACATGGCTGTTCTTGGGATCTTTTAGTAAGCTAAAATGTAATCAATGATTATGCAAACTTTTGTCGTGATTTTCGAAACTTTCACAAATCATAATAATTTGTATTCTGTTTAAGATTTTTCTCAAACCTTCACAGACTATTTTTTCTTCATTTTCATGTTGTATTGAAATATACTTGATGTCAGGGTAGACTTACTCTATTAATGATTTGGAAATAATGGTTGTTTTTAACCATAATGTACTTGTTCCTACATTTACTGTGCTTGGTTTTGATGTCAATAACAACAATAATAATGTTCCTTTGGGTGTGAAAGTATACTGTGCTATCTATAAGATAGTTGCGTAAATATTAATTCATTTTTCTATTGTAAGTATGACACGTACTCATGTCTTCGACACTTGTTTTAATTAATGTTCATACTTCAACTAAATATCAGCTGTGAATTACGACTAGGTAGACTAATTTGCTGTGAAAAACCCTTCACTTTAAAAAAATATATGTTTATTCGATGATATCCTAGAAAGTGTGCTTACCAGTAAATTCTTTTGATGACGCTACTCAAGTTAAATCATTCTGTATTAAACACAATGCACTCGTGTTTATTTTCTATATCACGACTTACAAAATCAACAGCACAGATGTGATAGATATAGGTGTACGTACCAGCAATTTGTTGAGTAGAGTCTTGCAGAAAAAAATATTACTGTTGCTATGCTGCTATGTTGTTTATGTACTCGTAAGAAGGTTTGAATGATGCTCTTAAACTAAAGCAAGATCATTATGAAAATTAAAAAATCAGTTTGGATATTCGATTTTACATATGGGGGCGGGGCAAGGGTTCCCCATCCTGGTACAGACGGCGTTGATAGAACATATATCATGCTTTGACGTCTCTCATGTTTCGAATAAAATGAAAATTAGGTTTCTTCCTAGAACATGCAATGTTTGTATTACACAAAATCAAGATTAATCAGAATACATAAAATAATGTGCAAAATAAAGGCACATCCCTAAAAACTAATTTAAAGACCTTATTCAAACTATGTTTAACAAATATCGGGCTTGATTTACAGTGCTTTCTGTATCAAAGATAAGTTTTTATGTGAAATATTAACTCAAACTATCGTAAGACAAGAGTGAGCAGGGTAGAAAAGGTAAACGTGAGCTATATTTGATTTCAGCTGAAATTAGTCATGGAAGTGATTGGTGCAATAGGATTGTATTCATTTGAAAAATATGATTGTGTTTTATGTAATTTGTATTCAGAAGTTAGGTTCAATAAAACGTTTGTGCTAATGTGAATAGGCTACGTCTCCAATGTGATATAGTATAATGCGAGAGCGAGACGAAGAAAGTGATGGAGACTGATATTCCAGTGAAAATAAAGAGGATGGGAGATGATACTCGATATATCACGATGGATCTCTCTTTCCAAAAACGATTACCACACATCCTGGTCATGTAAAAAATGCATATGTGGATAAAATATGAAGACATGTTCTTACAAAGCATCGTACCTTCCCGATCTTAACAAATCCTTGCATTTAACTTCAGTATGAATTTACTTTACCTGTTTATAGCTTAGATAATATACATAGATAACTTTAAATAGTCATGCCAAACAAAATATGCACTGCGGGCTCAAAATATGCCAGGGCGTAACAATAGTACAACTCACCTACTTCATAGTATTCCTGTAAGCATAACTAGACAATTGCTTTAGATTTGGTTAACCCTATCCTGCTTCAGAATAAACCCCCTTGTTTTTAATAATTTTAATAGATCTGCTTGTGTAAAATAGAGGTGGGCATATGAAAAACAAGGAGATTATTTGAAATAAAATTTGGACTGTTTAATATATATTATGTATCACAGTATAAATACTAATATACAGAAAACATTGTTCTCAATATATTCATGTATGGATATACACTTTTATGTATACATACGTGTACATTTGTGTATGTGTATACGTATATACACATGTATATATAAACACGCACATAACGCTCACCCACCCTCATGCACACGCACACTTGTGCTCGTGTATTATGCGGGTGAGCATAATGAAAAACGAGTAAATTCTGGAATACAAATAACAAGCAATTGCATAATCTTAATGAGAGGAATTAGAAAAAGATTGACAGTTCCATATTTAGGCCATAAGCACATTGCCCTGTCTCATATTCCTAACTCTCACTTTTCTCGATTGCCAATTTGAAACGATTTTAATGTTAACCACTTATTTCACTCTCGGTAACAACAAGAAATCCTGTCGGCTCCAGAACATTTACCATACATCAAGGCAAGGAATTGCCATCATTAGTAAGATAAATAGATGCCTTATTAGAATTATTTACAAGATAAAGGAGGTAAGATTTGGGGCTCAACCATGTATTTTTTCCTCATGAGTGGGAAACTATTAAACTGCTTTGATAAAAATGCTTCAATTAATGAAAATTACATTAAATAGGTATTTGTTTCCAAAGGCTAATCATAGCAAAAAACGGGGAATACAAATCTCTTTCTTTAGAACGTATATCCATGTGAGAAAGATAATCCGTCACGATAAGCACTATTTGCAAGAAAAAAGGATGAACGGTGAATTGGGATATTACCTAATTTGGAAAGCGCATGCAAAATTATGAAAACATACATTTATGTCCCATGAGAGATATAAAGAGGGGGAGGGGACAGGAGGGAGAGAGAGAGAGAGAGAAAGAGAGAGAGAGAGAGACACACACACACAGAGAGCGAGAGAAAAAGAGAGGGAGGGAGATAAAGAGAGAGAGAGAGACAGAGAGAGAGAGAGAGAGAGAGTAAAGTAGATTTAAAATGAAATTGAGAGAGAGAGGGGTAAAAAGAAATCAATGAAAATAGAGCAGGAGAATGAGAGATAGAGATATATAACGAGAAAGAAAGATAGAAAGATAGAAAGAGAGAGAGAGAGAGAGAGAGAGAAAGAGATGAAAACAAAAGACAAGGGGGTGGGGTTGAGGCGCCGGGGTATGAAACAGGCTCCTAGTCTCTCTCTTAATCATTCATAAATATCGTTTCGTCTACTCAATATCTCTACTCTTTTAGCTCAATCCAAAAGATCATAATAACTACACTAACTAAGTAAATTGAAACATCCCTTTTAATGTTATTTCTCATGGATTTCAGTCTATCTGGTCGATGACACCAACCACAAAAAAAAAATGTTAACATCTTTTTGCCTGCTTAATTTAAGAGATGTGTGTCCATTATAATTTGTTATAGATATTTCTATGATTCTAATTACAAAACTTCACATTATGAAATAAATCAGAATTACAAAATATCCCAAATTTTTAATCAATTTTTATGAGTATTCATTACAATGTTAATCATGACGTGCTTGCTTAAAACCAAGCGAGCGAGCAAACTATGTGTGAATATGTAATCTTGATTTAAGAGATTTTCTCAGACCTTTACAGAGTCCTTACGCCATTACGCCATTATACGCACACCCACAAACGCCCATGGAACCACCCACGTAATCATGACTTAAATCGTCTGCTTCCTTTACAAAATATACAATTTTTTAAGAAGCTCATAGGGGGCCTGGAATATATAATCACTGTGGTATATATGAATAATCATGTCTCAGATAAAATATCAAAGAAACACCCTCAGAAACAAATCATGATTAATACTGAAATCAATCACCGATTATCCAGGCAAATGTCAAGTAAGACATTACTGAAGGTTGGGAAGAAGGAGAGGAGAACGGCGGCCCTCGAGGGCGGAGAGACAAAGAGCATTCGAATACGAGTCATGTCCTAAAACTAGGGAAAGCATCTTCTTCAGCTCAACCTGATTATTATAATGTTCGCAGTCTAAATCCCAACTTCTCGGCTGGATTGTGAGACAAACCTGGTGAGTGGATGGATGAAATGGAGTTCTTTGTAACGGACCAACATGGGCGAGAGGGAGATCAAGGAGGCTTTGAGGGCGATGCGTAGTATGTTTACATGGACGGTAGAAAAAGAAAGATGGATAGTAATCTTTTGAGTGGCTATGTTAACACGTTTTTCTCTACCGGCTACAATGGCACGGACAATACCTAATTTGAGACAATGTTGTAAGAAGACACAAATATGTATACACAGTAGAAATATTCAGAGAAAAGAGAGGCAAGGTAGACATAGAGAGTGTTAGGACGTTTTTTTCTTCTTCTTAATATGAAAATGGAATAATATTCATCAATAGGAAAGTTTTATATTGGAAATATTTCCCATATAGGAACCCTACGGGCAAATGTTATGTTCACATTATCTTCAAAACCCGATGTTTTAACTGTAAAACAAGAATATCGAATGCAGTAATTAGGTATGCATGAAAAGTTGTCATGGGGGTGGATGGAACATTCGGGGAAGATAAATCAAAGTTAGCACAAAACTCTTTTGAGTTAAGACATACCATAATAACTGTAAATATATCAGCGTTCATGATTACCTATTAAATGCATTGCTGTGTTGCCTCATGTTCTTGCTGATAATGATATATCAAATATGATTGCATTCTTTCCTTTATCTTAAGACTGGTTTTACGGCTAAAAATCTAAAAATGCACGAAATATCAAGAAAGCGAGTGTATTCTATGACGTAATCACTGCTAAACATCATTTTCAAATCTTCGATTCTCATGGCTTTATTCAACTTTATTTAACTTTTTACTGATAGGGGGCAGTCCAACCCTTATAATAAGTTTGTAAGAAAGCAGAAAAACCAGAGAAACAGAATGGCGAAAGTTTAAAATAAGTCATAAGAAAAAGAAAGTTATGAATGTTTAAAATATGAGATCATTATAGCTAGGCGAATCTCAAATTGTTGTCCGCCACTTTATCAGAGAGACATTACCGATTCAGTCATTTCGAGGAGCTTTTAAAATATCGTAACTTTCTCGTTTTTATGTCCGATTTCAATCAACCTTTCGCCAGTATGCTTCTTTGATTTTTCTGCGTTCTTCTAGTCTAAGAATAGTTTTCTATCAAGGTTGGATTTCCCTTGAATTAATGGATTCTTCATCCAAACAATCTTATCTACTTAAAAACCTTCAGTTGATTAGAATCATTGTACTCCATGAAAAAAGTCATTTCCCTACCTGGAGGCTAACATGATTACTGACGCGAAACTAGTCACTCTATGCCCAGTCTTTGCAATATTGACCAACTTTCTTCTCCCCTTTGAACCTGCAAAATGTCAAAAAATGTGTCTATTTTGATAAAATGATTACCTGAATAATTTAATAGAAATCGGAATTATTAGAACAGTTGTGATACACAAAGCCTAATAAAGACGAATCCAGGGCGTAACTATTCTTTCTCCGTCAACCCCTTAAAATCTGTCCCCAAATAACGCTTTGTTTGTTCCGAGGTTGTTGGCACTGACAAATCATTTTGATACATCATTGATTAAATACATTAAAATATTAGAAAAACCGTTGAAAATCAAAATAACTTTTGTTACGTCCATGTCATCATCTTACGTAATGAAGAATGAATTCGCAGTCTGACCTTAAAAACCCTATCTTACCGACATGCGATAATATACAATGGATTTTCAGGAGAACTCCTCAATATTATTACTTTACTAAACAAAAAGCAGCTTGATTTTATACCTATAGGAGGACATTTTGCAGGAACAAGTTGTTTCAGAGGATGTGACAGGAGCCAGACAAACTGAAAGTTGGATAGCTAAAATAGAATTAAGGGAATGTATAGAAACTAAAATATCATGATGGACAAAATAAATAGAAAGGTATGACTTAGCATTATAGCTTCGATTAAAGCTACAGGTCCCTTATATGTCACTCATGCACACCGGAATTAAAGATAATAAATTTGATGAGGTCTGCTAAGGAGGAAAGACTCACCCCCCATCAATTAGAAGTTGTTGTGGATGGAAAGCAGTGCATAAAAAGGTGTCTAAACTCGAGGTAGTATCCATAAAAAGACAGGACGACTTTCATAATCTCCTTTATTCCCAAGATATTTCTATCGTTAGAAAGCTAAAGGATGTGACGACATATACATATTTAAACCGTTCCGTGTGTCAACTTGTGGTAATTACTAATACGCACCGTGTACAGAAGTGATGCATCAGGGATCCCCTAAGGATTTTAAAGATAGTCAACATCAACCCCGGAGAGACATACTGGGGCAATCCCCTTGCTTATGTTTGTTTCGTTCAGTGAACTTGCATTGGATGAGACGAGGTTGAAGAAAATAGGGGTGCCATACTTTGCCACTGCCTTGTTTTTGAATATATTTGTAATCCCATTACTCTTTAACAAAAATGAAACATAGTAATAATGCTATCACGTGGGAATTTTAAATATATAATTCGTTTCCGTGTGTGAGATTCAAACATTCAAAGAGTATAAGTTACGATTGTTACAGTTCAATAGGAAAATGTGGAAAATTCCTTTTTTACAACTTAGAAAAATAAACTTTTGAACTTACTATCTTGGTCAATGAGTTGATTGAAAGACTGTACTCGCTTTCTTTGATGAAAAAAAATTGTTGTGCAAAAATGAATTGTTCAAGGACTGAGGTTAGTCAACATTTTATAACGTTTTCTGCGGGGTTCAGTAGCTAGGTCTCCGTGCAGAGATTTCACAAAGATTTGGTTACAACTATCGTCATCTAATGATCTTGTGTTGATCTTTAGTGGCGAACTACAGACGGAAAAGGGGCGTGTGCCTCCGATTGAATGTAAATAAAAACAGCGAGAGAGGGGGCAGGGAGAAAAGAGGGAAGAAGGGAGGGGGAGGGGAGAGAGAAAGCAACAAAATAGTAAATATAAGATGAGTGCACCCCTTTCCACACCCTCAACCCACTCGACGGGCTTGTTATGTCGCATTTCATTCGTCTAGTAAGACTAGTGGCCCCTCTCAACATCAGTGCCCCCTCCCCACCCTATCACTGGACCAACGATGCGTTATTGAAGATGTATAGTCCATTTATTCTCATCACGTACGTAGGGAAGTTGTATATTGAACATGACAGGCAAGGATGGTGAAACTAATACGCTGTCTATCATATTTCGTAACTATGTTGCTGCAGGGCTATTTCATGGAGGATGAGATATCGCTTACTGGCATTAATGTTCTTGCTTTACCTCTTCGATGTGACAGAAAGATTGATATTGGAGATTAATCAATGTTGGGACATGGCATCACCGGGCAGGGCTATACATCGTTTGTTGACTAGTGGTGGATTAAAAGGGGAGGCCCGTGCCCCCTTTTAAACATGTTATCTATTTTGCCATCTACCTTCCCCTACTTTTTCTATCAGCGTAGTGGGGGGGGGGGGGGTGGATGCGCCCGTGCCACCGTACTTACCCCCTCCTGTAGGCCACATTTTCGGGGAAACATGAGTTACTCCAAGCTATTCCAGTAATATAAATGTAATCTAAAATATCCTTAGGGGAGAGGTAACGATCAAAATGCAGCGTTTCAAACACTTTCAGGCAAGGCGTGAAGATACTCCATGAATATTGACAATGGACAAAAAAGGATTCATAGATGTGTCATGTATCCTACATTCCTACATTTTGTAATAGCTTCATCCCAGACAAACAATATTATTAACCTTTTCTGAATTTAAATTGATTGATGTGAAATTTCTGTGCCGATATGAAACCAGTTGATTTCGAACTGGTTTTCAATAAGCCTACAAGTCGGCCATTAAATCTGCAGTCACGAATAGCATCAGCAATAAAAATTGAAACTTGAAACATGCCTGCCAAAATAATTTTGCAAGACGTAAAACTTGGGAATATTTAAATGTCTACCTGAAGCGATTACGAATTACAGCAATTGAACCTACTCATTGGGTCATCCTAAATGATTTAAACTAAAGAGGTATTTCACTCCTAATTTCTTTTCAACCCAACTCAGGATTTTGTTTAAACGTCTATTGTATTCTGCACAATATTATAATTTTTACCGTTTGATCCAGATGATTGAAATGTCTGATAGCATTAAGCTACAGAAGATAAGATATAAGATTTAGCATTTTTAATTAATCTTGATAATTGGGTAAAGCCCATATCATCACATTGAGTAGAAAAAGCTTGATATGAAATATAATTCCCTGTGTCAATTCCATTTGTCAAGAGATACTTTGATTGCTACTAGACTAGATACATGTACAATAAACGCATATTTTAATATAACTATATGAAGCACAGTATCACAACAAAATAAAAAACAATATCTTAAAACCAGTTCTTAAGTAACATTCAAGTATTTATTTCTCTTATTAATTTTCCCAGACACGCAATATAATCATGTACACCAATTGTTTACATTTGTTCAAAGGTCTCCTCATTCACGATATAATACAAGCATCTTTGTAAGGTATATTAGTCATCATCTATAAAGACTACAGAGAATATCCCCTACACAATACAGGCATGGCTATATTCATTCGGTCTATACGATCAACTAACAGCCTATATCAACTAAATGAGACTTGATTAATACGATAAAAGCATTCGCAGGAATAAAACCCCTGATAGTAATATATCACATTATCAAGGGCAGGCTGTTTAGGATGTATAATCGACCTGACCGCTACACGACATGAAAATGAATTTTTTGACCTAGTACAGGTATACTACCATTAACGGTGAAATACACAGTTCAAAAACCTTCCAGAACTAAAACAAATAAAAATAGAGTTTAGCCTTTTTAGTTTTATTTTCCTTTCACAGAATTAATCAAAGAGTTTGATGTTTAGTACATAGGCTATATAAATTTACCAGTTGTTTTTCTTATCGTTTTACAATTTTGATACTTAAAAAAAAACCTCAAGATAATTGATCATTAGAAAATATTAGAAATATCCATATTCTTCCTTCAGAGTCATTCAAGGGTTAATTAAGTGCGATCTTGAAGTGGACACCTTGTGTTCCTGGCCTCTGCTAATTATTTGATAACCATCATAACCAATAACTATAATTATGACATAACTTACTGAAGTAATTATTTTAAATGACCTTCCCTTCCGCAATCAGTTATAGAACATACTTACCTCACTAAGGCAAGGTTCTCCTGATGGCATTGTCGATAAGGTTTGCCAGTAATGCCAGAAAACTACTTGTAATGCTTGTTACCTGATGTCAATTTGTGATAGCAAGGTGACATTTTCTTAATTTCTTTGATTATAGAAAGGACAGAAGTGCCAACGCCACCCACTTACAACACGGAGCATGATACAAAATCAACTGACACTTGTATCTGATTATCCAAGTCATTTTAGCGTTCAGTTCGGCTGGAAAGCATAATGTTTTATTGCTTCTTTTTCCCAGTTAGAATTAGACAGCAATACCATCAGCAAGCTCTAACTCATTCAAAATTCTGTTTTTAACTGAATCTAAATTAACAATAGAGACTGACAATAATCATGATAATTACAGCTTTCCCCAAATTGTATCTGTTCTTTCCTAGATTATATAACATATTACAATATATATATATATTATACTTGTACGTGTATAATAATGAAATGATGATATGAAATACAGTATATTTCAGGCTATGGGGTTTGGGTGGTACATACTCTTCCACACACTTCTGAGCATATGTATCCAGTATAAAACCTATTCTTTGATAGGTCACAGATTTATAATTGTTATATTATTATATCTGGAAACCTTTCAGATGAACCACCTTTGCCAAATCAAATTCTTTCATTACACCTGTAGGGTATATAAATATTCAATATAATACACTTTTACAATGTATGTAAATACATTTGACAGCCATTATTATAAATCATGTTTTCAATATCTCTTTCTAAATTAAACTTCGATTTTGGTAGCAAAGACTTGTTGTAATTCTATTTAAAATACAACCCTCATCATCTTACAAAAGAAGTTTATCATCAATTAAACTTTGATTTAGTAGCAAAGACTTGTTGTAATTCTATCTAAAATAACTACACTCATCATCTTACAAAAGAAGTTTATCATTAATTAGAGAAGATTCAACATGTTTATATACTAAGACCTGATAAGCATGAATCGCCAATCGAGATAAAGGAGTAATTAGCAGTACTCTCTATGTGTAGACTAAATCAAATCATATGCATGTCTACAATTCAGAGCTGATGAAAAACAAATGAAATTTAAGGCACCATTTGTTATGAAAAACAAAAATCAACCATATATTCATGTTTTCAGTACACATACTATATATTATTTATATTACATTTTAGTGGATTATTGATATCCAATCTACATGTACAAACATCAATTACAAGAAATATTTATTTCTCTAGGAATTCTTGTATGACTAACAATCAAACAGTATAATAAATCAACTTTGAAGAAAAAAACAAAAACAGAAGCAAAACAAAATCAAATAGAATCATATTTTATGTACAACATGAATCTTCAACCTAAAGTGATGATGAATCCTGATATACTTCTTGTCAAGATTGATGCCAACATGGTCATATAGCATTCAAAGAAAATGAAGACATAAAAAACACATTTAATTGAACAAGACACTTACAACAATTCATAAAATTTAAACGACAGATACATAAATATGGTGTACAACGAACGGAACAGACAGTGGGCCGCCACTATCGACCTTTGTCATACAGACAAAATGTATGCAAAATAAAGTGCCACTGTACTGCCACATAACAACACTGTGGCGGTCTCAGATTTGAACACAAAGTCAATAGAGAGATAACTTGTCTCTATCAACAAATGTATACCTTTCTAATATCCTCAAATTTTTTGGGGAAAATAGGTAAATTAACAAACCTTCATGGAACAAAAGTTAAAACTGTTGAAATAGATCATGGTTACAGAGCAACATTTTATTTAAAAAGTTCAGACAAATACACTACCTACAAATACATAATCTACACAAAAAGGGCTAAAATCTAGTCCTAAAAATGGAAAACTAAATGCTTTTTAAATCAAACTCTGTACTAAACATCAAGACAGAAGGGATCATGCAATCAAACCTTACAACCTGAAGTTTAACCTTGTGATTAATTGCAGCTGTAAGGTAGGCATCGCTAGAACTAGCCTCTAACTCTAATCAAAGAAAGCAATTTATTTCCCAGGTTTCATTCACTAAAACTGAAGGGTGTTTCTAAGTAATCTGTGGGGGCGGGAAGAGTTACACATATAACATAGCATGGTGGTAAAGCCGATAGGTGTTTCAGGGATATGAACATATCATTAAAAACCAAGAAATACTTCTTGGCCAATGAAGGGTGTGGTAAGGGGGGGGGGGGGTTACCTATTTTGGCACATGCACACATGAAGCTGTCCGCAACATTTTGTTTTTATTCATTTTTTTGTTTATAACAATGTTAGCTTAATGCTTCTCATTTCTGCATACCCAAAAAAATTGATAAGGAGTACACAAAGGACCTTTTTGCATGCAGCTACTTTGTTTTATCCCAATTTGCTATTCAACTTACAATTTTTTTTTTTTAAATGCCACAATGTTCCATCATGTGTGAATGCGTCATAACTTTCCACATAAAGCTTCCTTACAGAGACTTACATCCCAAGCATGATGTGGAGGCCTTATAAATTGTTATGATATGCCCATTTCAGTAATGACCAAGAGGTACTTCTTTGCCCAATGATAGAGAAGGGGATAGAAGAAAGGGGTTTGGTGGTGGGGGGGGGGGGGGGGTTGTTACACATAGTGCCTCCTCGCCAAGACCAACACCCCAAGCATGATGTTGAGGCCTAAGAGAGCTGTGATGATGTACACATCCCAGTACTGCCCAAAGAATGCATCCATGTCCAGCGTCTTCAAGACATCAGAGTTCTGCACGATACACAGAGAAAAGACAAGAAAATAAAAATACAAAATAAAATATATATACCAGAAACTTTGTGATGCTCTTTTTGAAACAAGTTCTCATAATTCTTGGATAGAACATAGGATGAGCTCTGGAGGAGAAGACTCAAATAAATGGAGGAAATTTCAAGTACACAGAAAAATAAAAAGTGTTTTGATATAAAGAAAATTAAATGAAAATCAAGGACATTTATGAATTCAGTCTAAACATGCTTGGAAAGAAAATTAATGGAAAGGAAGCATGGGTTCCTATGTCTACATAATTTCACTTCTACATGTATCATGTATGAACAGTGACTGATCATGTTGTGGACATTCAAATACTTCAAAATTATGAGTATGCTCTGGTATATTGAATTCATTGACTACACAAACACAAAGGCAAAAAATAGATAACTGCCTGCAGGACATATCGAATCAATAACTTATTTTCTCTCTATGATCCCAATCCAAGACACCAAATATATATATATCAACTGCATGATCTGTTGATTGAAAACTAATTAGCAACCATGAAGAATTCGTACGTTAGGCCTGGAGGGGCGAAAAAACTAGAGCAATAGAGAGGTATTAGTGATCGGTAGCCATCGGCATCTTGACACACATTACAGTGATTTGCATGTGGAGAAGTGTTACGTGGGCTATTCTGTTATGCCCTCGGAGGTAAAGGGTGACCGATATTCTTGCCTGGGTAAAGCACAGATTATTTCATATAAATGTAAATGACTTGGCAGGGGCTGGATAGAAGGCCAAGGCGAGTTCCCCTCTGAATCAAGGCTAAGGCAACCTGGATTCCTGTCACACGGCCTTAAATGTTTTTGATTTCATATCCCATTTCAAATGGTAGTCCATTAAAAGCTAATTTTATATCTTATTACATGAAACAACGCTACATTAGCTGCTTGTTTGCATAAATAATTGACAATTCTTCTACATTCCTGAGTTGAAGAGTTATTGTGAGGGTTTTGACTTTTTTTCTCTCGATGCTATGTGCCAAATCTACAACAAACAGAGTTGACATTTTTTCTAGAGTATATGGACAGACAAGAAAGTTAATATTGGGCACCATGAAATAATTTCTAATGTAAATTATTAAAATATGTCGCGAGATGAAATGTTTTTTTCTTTTTACATAGGGGAGATGAAGAGAACAGATGTGCTTTAATTGAAACTACTTTGCAGGCATCATCCAGGAAAAGAAAACTAAAAGTGACAGCCTATTTGGTTAATCGCTCATCGGGAAGCATTTAAACGAACACATGATGGCTTACGCAAGTCAGGAGGTGTTTTCCACCCTCTTCTTGTTAATGGGTACTGTTAATCATTCACTCATGTTAGAAGTCCATCTTCCATATGGCCATTTACCATTAGAAAGCATACAGGTAAATTAAAAAGAACATAAATCATCATTCAGATCCAGAAAGTTTTTCTTGACTTTCGGCCTTCTTTGATCTTGCTTTCATAATGATCACAAACAAGTTTGCAAGAAACACTGTACATATTGAACAAAAGTTATAATAACAGATACTTCAAGCTTTCTAGACAGCGTGTGACCGAAAAAACATGGTTTATGTTGTAGGGAGATAGGTAGTATACATAATACGTGGGAGTGTTCCATCACAAATTTTTTTTCTATGATAGAATCATCTTTATTCAATATTGCAAAAATATTGACATGAGTTCTTCAATAACAGAAAAATTGTCTGATCATAAATGGTATAAGCAACTTGTACGGAAGGAAAATGGGCAATGGAATATGTAGGAATATAGAAATCACATTATCACACGAGTACTAATGAAATGACATAGATTCATTTATTGCTGGACAACCTGTGACTTTTGACTCATTACTTTAAATCCAATGAGTTCATATCTAAATATGATAAAAGCTGGGGAGAGTGCATTGCAAGATGACTACAATTCTTCCATCTATTCTTGAATTGGAGTATTCTGACGGGCTAAGACGTTTGAAGTTGCCCACACTTGCGTACCGTCGTCACAGAGCCGATATGATACAAACATCTAGACTTTTTCTAAAGGATTGACCGCGGTGACCCTAACCAGTTCTTTCTAAGCCCTTAGAATGACAGAACATGTGGCCACAGCTTTAAACTATCAAACTATCAAAGTTAGAGCTTTCACTTCCATCCGAATGGGATCGTTCTCACAGCGAGTCGTCAATCTATGGAATGCGCTTCCAGCTTATGTCATTAAAAGCCCATCCTTAAACTAGTTCAAATCCAACCTAGATAAAGCATGGAGAGCTCAATATGACATGTTCAACCCAAATGAAATGTTTCTGTGCTATTGTATTGTCCGCTGCTCCAACAATCCCCAGTAGACACAGATCTTAATCCTGCTGCTGAGGGGCATATAGTAATTATACTTGAAGCCCAACATCAAGGTAAAAATCAAGGTAAATCAAGGTAAATCAAGATAATGCAAAATATATTCAAAATGAGTAATAAGATTTAATAAAACATGGCTACCAATTAGCAAAAACAGGGTTAATTGTAAGTTCTTTGTATGTTGTGGTGACTGGACTTTTGCAAATGTGTTTCTTCTGCAAGTTTACATAAATCCTTCAGAGTTCATCTCTCTAATAGCATACCTCCAGTAATGAAATGACACAGACCTAAATTTATGAAAACTGTAAGATGAACTAAAATATATTGCAGAGTCACAGCTCTAAAAAGGAACCACAGAATTTCTATGGGTCCAAAATTTATGTGAGGTTGTCTATTACTGGGAAAGTATATTTGAGTCCTGACAACTATTGAAGAGCGATAATTAGTTTGTGATGGTGGAAATCTCCATGGGGGGAAAACTGCCATATGTGAACCAAGTGTTCCCAATCATCAGCAAGACATGTTCTTTTGTCTGGTGACCTACAAATTCATCCCTTTTCCTGGAACCATCTTGACTCTCAGCTTATCAATGACCTCCTTTCAAGAAGTTCCTCTTTAAGAAAACCCCTAAATTCCCTGAACTATGCACTTCTCGACAGAAACAAATCTAAAGCAACATTCTATGTTGGAGTCCATCTTCAGCACATTATAGTGGATAAACAACACATTACCCCTGAGATATCTCTTATACCACCTGCCCAGACCGTCTGCAGACATGCGAAATTATTCCGCTCTAAAATTCTCCACAATGCCTTGGCCATTTATTAACCTTCCAGAATACTAACATCAGTGCCCCAATTTCCTCCCATTTCATGGTCTGAGTGCCTCACAGTTACAGACGAGACAAACTCTATTTTGACAAGATAATTATTTTGTTAAATAAGCATTACTAAGCAACAACTCATCTTTTCCCCCTTCCTCTCTCTCTCTCTCTCTCTCTCTCTCTGTCTCTCTTCCCTTGAAAATATGTAAAACAGAACAGAATGGTGACCATAAAGTGTTAAAGTATGCAATAACTTTAAAGTGATATCTGTACTATTAGAAAACTAATTTCAATTGCACAGATAACATGATCTGGAGAAGAAAAGGGAGAGTACATTTCATGCAGCCTGGTTCAATATGATGAATGCAAAAATCAAACAACTTCCAGAAATTATGTCAATTTGTTGATGATAGCGGCAGTATTACATTTTTTTTTTTTACTGTTTTACTCCTATTCCAAAGCAATGATTATAATCATGTTTTTTTGTTTCTATAAACAGAATAATCTATTATTTCAAGAAATAATCTTTGATTTTACTACCTGAGAGAAGACAGCGAAAAGTAAATATCTAGTAAATTATAACTTTTAAAAGAAAGAATTTGCAAATAAATCAAGGCAATTTTGTATCAATGTGCATTACAAAAAAACACAACCAAGGAAAAATTAAAACAAAAACAAATATGCTTTAAAAAAAAAATACTTGTAGTAACCAAAAGTACACATTACTTGAAACTTTCTGACATTATTAACCAAACATTTTAACCCATCGTCTATGGGACAAGGTCGCTACTGCATCAAAGTCTACGAGAATGAGGGTATTCAGTAGTCATATATTGTGTGCGGGTAAGCCTGAATCCTATGACCGGGGTAATAATATATATATCTGTAAAGCGCTTTGAGAGGGCCTTCGGTCCTGAAAAGCGCTATATAAGAACTAGCTATTATTATTATTAATGGCTTTAGAATGGTTGGAAAGTCCTAAAATGCAGAATTCAACCACTTTCATTTTCCATTGTAAACATCAAAGAGTTCCTTTAAAATGCAAAGACAGCCCAAGTTTTTAGTGAAGGTGTGAATTTCAGATGGTTGATGATGTGTCTCCAATCAGCGCCTTGCAGTGTGTGATCAACTGGGCTTAACGGATGGTGAAAATAGCCCACAAACATAATGCTTGACACTTGAGCTTTATCCCTGTGGTATCTCCCCCCTCATTCACACCAGCAAAACTGATTGCATAGCTATACAACGAGTGATAACAGGTAATGAACCATTTCTAGGCTGGACATCATCTGTACACTGAAATGTTGTGGGGCGAAATCAGGTTTAAGCATCATAATGAAGGAAAGCTCAATAAGGTTTTAGGTTCCATCACCAGAAGGAGCACCATATGAAATGCAATCTGTATATGATTGGGACTGGGTGAGGATTATCACGAGGGAGTGCTGATCTGACCAACACCAGTTGTTACTCTGCATCCTCAAACAAAGCCCTGACATGAGATAAACATATATATGGATGAAGTAAACTGATCTCCTTAAAAGTAGAACTTCATTCTAGTTTATCTGACATTCTTATGATATATGTATGCCCCTTTCACTACACCACGTTTCTTTATGCAATAAAACATTTCTCAATAAGAATATTGGACACTTTCTCTCTAGTGTGAATAAGCTGTTGATGGTTAACACGTGAGAGGAAACAACATGTTGGGCTCTTTTCTCTTCAAGGATACCATACTGATATTGTCATGGAGCCTTACAGTATGTTGACACTGTGGATAATAGATGCTCCTTAGA